GAACCAAGAAATGCTTTGTTATCTTTGACTTTTGAGCTCAGTATCAAAATATTTCACTTTTTTTGGTAGTAAATGTACACTTAGGTGGTAACGACGCATATCCAACTTTTCCTCACATTTTTTTTCACGATGTTGTTAAAGTCGGATTCGAAAATATATCTTTCCACATACTCGATATTTTGGAAGACACTTTTAGAGAAAGGGATGCAGTCAGTCTTGCGGAACTTGTGCTCTGGTTCCATTGTTGCTTCATGGATCGTTTTTTTTTTGCAATAAGAATTACGCCATAAAAAATCCGCCGTGAAGCGTTTTGGAAGGGGTCGAACCGGCAAGCTTCCTCCCGATGGCCGATACCACTAACCGCTCCGACGGTTCGCCGACGTGCGGGCGGCGTGGTGGAGCGGGCCGGCGCCGTGGGTCTGCCGTACCGAAAGTGTTGAGAAACGATCCTAGATAACGTGCTATATATCAGTGCGATAATGCTGAGTGATGTGCAAAACTTTGAACCTCGAACGTGATTCGAACACCCATCTCACTCTTTCCAGGCGCGCGTGCTAATCAGCCCTATCAAGTAGATCGTTAAGGCGTCATACTTTCTGCGATACAAGGTATCAACGTTTACTATATTAGAAATTTACTTCTCTCCAACAGCTGCACTCTCCGCTATTTCCTTTGTCACTTGAATTAGACGATAGTCTTTGAGCCCAAACTTGTCAGAGAAGCGTATTTGTTGTATGTCAGTCTATAATAAACGTTCGGTGCGAAATAATATCGCCAAAATGACCTAGATTAAAGTCCAAAATGAACGAAGGAAAAAGAAAGAAAAAATAGTGAGAAGAGCAAAGGAAACACCATGAACCTTGAATTTTTGTATTTTATCAGCTGCTTTGAGGTATGCAAATATAAATTCCACAGCGTTTGTCGAATCTTCGATGTCTCCAGGCTCAGTAGTTGGCTGAAAAAAAGGTAAAGACACCTCTCTGGGATACGACAAACAATTAAGTCAGTCAGCACTTCAACAATGATGACCCCATGTTGAGTGGTATGGAAAACGCTCGACTTTAGTCAGGAGTAGAACTCTCGTTTCACTTTTAGCGCGAGCGCTTACTTTCACACTGCGCCACCGAAGCCACCTCTTTGCCACCACTGTTTTTCCTATATGAACTTGCGTCTTTGCGTCTTTAGTTCCCTTTGATTTTGCCATTTTACATTTGGAAGAAGATAGACAATCTGATAGAGAAAGAGTGGTAATAAAGCGGTATCCTCGGTAGAGTAGTAGTAGCACTTGCTCCAGGTATGAGGAAACGCGGGTTCGACTCCCTACTGGTGTCGAATGGTTTGCATATCACTCAGTGTTGTCGGCTTTATAACTGAAACATTAAAACACTGCGAGAAGCAGTTTGAGCAAAAAGTTCTTAGAAGTTAAAGAGGAGACTTTGCTCTACTGCTCAAGGGACTATTGCTAGACGTAGCACGTTAGAGTTAGACGCCACTATTAGACGCAACACGCTCGGGGTTAAAGATGCAGGGATCGGGCACATGGTCCCGAAAAGGATTGAATATTACCATTTCTATTTTTACACGACCCATTTTCACAGTTCACTCACTGTGCGGATCCCAGCATCCCTTATCCCCCGTGAGTCGACATCTCAATGATGTTCTTTCTGTCAGACAGAAACAAATGAAGAGAGGACCCCTTTTGCCGGGCAAGAACTTTTCATAAAACTGTCGGTATTCATTCGAAAGCTTAAATCTCTGGCTACTACGATACGCGGCTCCTTTTTTGAAAAGTCCTTCTTTGTAACGCTGTGGCATTCAAATGAAATTATGCTATACACTGGTCGCGCGCTTTTACTGTTACCTCGCTGGAAGTACGAAAGCATATAAACGTGTACAGGAATTCTTGTAGTATCAGGGTTATATGTTCTACCTAAAATTCCTTTCAAAGAGGAGAAAAACCCTAAAAAACAATTTAAAAAAATGTCGCGTTTCACATATGAGTTGCGCCAATGTAATCGATCGATCGCGCATCGATCCCCGCTCGACACCCTACACCCTAGTTGACAAGCAATGCGCCGCGTACGTGATACTCAATCTTATTTCCCTGTTACACTACACGAAAAAAGTCTTTTCAAAGTACAGCGTTGGAATCGCAGAAACTTACGCTATCAAACAGTTACAACTGAAGGAAAGATTTTTATCCTCAGAGAATTATGCGCTTATGATACGCAAATCTTTTCCTTTTGTTACAGAGATGTAGGAAGGCTTTTTCAAAAAACGAGCATGCAACATAGTAGCCCTCGATTTAAGCTTTCGAATGATTTCTAACATGACAATGAAAAATTCTTACTCAGCGAAAGAGGTCGTTTCATCAGTTGATTCCGCCTAACAGAAAAGAACCGACAATGGCAATGTAGAAACCGTATTTTCAAGGCATTCCACAAGGCAACTGGATCTCAGTTTAGGATCTTTTGTGTTTTTCATCCAGTCGAAAAAACACAAACATTCAAAATTAGCCACTTTACAGAAAAAAGCAAGTGGTTCGACACCAAAAAGGCATTTCTCATATCGAATGGTTCCTCTTCTCACTTTGTTCCCCAAATGAATACTGATATAATCCTCTGCGAACGATGAGGGGTCTTTTGATTCCACAACTTTTGAGAGATTTTCTCGATGGACAAAGGATTTTGTAGAAAATTTCAACAATCATCCCAAAGCCGCGATTTGAACGCTGGCCGTGTTTTCCAAAAAAGGCTTCTCATTGCGATGTAGCAAGGAAAGTCAAATCACTTTCCACACTCAGAGTGCTTTGCTTGTCCGGCTAAGATTTGTGGGTTTTTCATGCAATCGATAACACAAATCTCGGCTCCGAATCTAAATTCTGTTTTACGGAAAAGTCTTTACAGAGTGCTGTAGGAGCGAAAAAAAAACTAGGTTCTTTCTGATAAGGAGGGAACAAATGAAAAACCAATCCCATTAGATGGAGAATAACTTTTCATGGGAGTGTCAGTAACCATACGAAAGCTGAGACTTGAGACTACCGCCCCACATCGCCGGGTTTTTTGAACCCCACCCCCTCTTTATAATGCTGTAATATTCAAAATAAAATTATGTTTCATAAAACATGCTTTTTCTCTTATATCGCTTATGTTTCGCTGGACAAAACTCCTTCCTTAGAGTGCTAGTACTCAAACTATAGCACAAGCTTCAAGGAAACTCAAAAATGTGCTTGCTTTCCAAGAAGCTCTTCAGATCTTTTGATCTCCTCGGCTCTTTTGATTTGTGCTCTAAATCTCGCAGGACAGAGCTCATTCTCCAGATTATTAGTGATCATCTGACAGAATAATGTTTCCTGATTCCAGCGATGTGCTTATCTTCTGGAAATACGGTTAAGCAGGGAAAATAAGATCGAGTTTTATATTACTGGCAAAGTTGTTTACAAGCCATTCAACAAGGCGAGGACCGTGGCAGGGAGCATGGCAAAGGCGGGGCGAGGCGGACGATCGATATTTTGTTATTCAATCGGGAATTTTTTCCCCGATTTGGAAAAACTCCAAATAAAACGAATGACTAGGATACTATGAAAATTTCCCTACACATTGATATGCTTTTCAGCTTCCAGCGAATTATACTCGTGATAGAAATGCAAGCAAAAGGCGAGTATGAAACATCATTTTTGATTCGCATCTTACAACGTTATAAAAGGGTGTTTTGAAAAACTGCTGTCGGAAGGCTGTAGCCTTTAGTCTCAGCTTTCAAATGGTTACTAACACTTGCATGAAAAGTCTCTTTCCAGCAGAAGAGATTGGTTTTTCATTTGACCCCTTCTGATAAAAAAAAAGTCGAAAATTACGTTCATGCCTGAAATTTTCTTCGCGAACAGGAGTTACATATGCACAAAAACTATATGAACTTGTAGGGGAGATTATGGAATATCAGATCAATACAAAAAACCTGAAAGTTTCTTTACAACAAAGAGAAAAACCTTCAATCGATAACAAAAATGCGGCGGCGCTTGTGATATCGATTATCAGCCATCCACAATGGGATATAGTATTACTCTGCACTTCGTTAGGTGAAAAAAAACTCGAAGGAAAGAAAAATCGTGTTTAGATCCTGATCAGAAGGGTTTCAAATATGATAGAGGGATGTCAACGTACCTCTACCGTCGGCTCATTTATAGAGATCATAGTCGATTGTTGTTGTTGTTGTTGTTGTTGTTGCATCATGTTCATTTCCATCTAGAACTATGAATTTTGTAGAGTGGATAAAGAAAGACATAAATAAAATTTGAGCGAATAAACAACACGTTAATACGTTTGAATTTTCAAAAGCCGACGAGTGCACGATTCAAATTTCACAGTTTCGCGGGATAGAATTCCGGGTGAGCGGACAACTCGTCCGCACACACTATGGGACTCATTTTCGTGCTTTGCTCTTCGAATGATACACATCCCTTATTCGGAACGAAATGAATCCTCCTTTATGTCGATCATATGTCTCTGTTCACATTTGGGTGCGACGGTGTTGAGCTGGACATGAACCATGATATCTATGAAACCGATAGCAGTCATCTCAAAACTGGGTTTAATGCCGATATGGGCTCACCAGACTAGGCTCGTTGACGGTTCGTTGCTGACAGAATTGATACTATGTATCGCCGACAGAGAGCGCATGTGGCGCAGTCGTGGGAGGTGCTCTGTGTCGTACACGGGGTCAATGGCTCGATCTCGCGCTCATGGCTCACTTATCCACCCATCCTTCCGTGGTCGATAAATTGGTACCAGGCTAGTCTCAGACTTGTCTGGTAGGATAACCAGCACTGGCTCGATACGGCGGGAGGCCACCGCGAGTCATTGTAAAGGCTAGCTATGCATTTAATCACCTCAGACGAAATTAAAAATCGAAGACGATCGCATGGCGCATCCCTCAAGGATCAACCACGCCGAAAGCTTTATCCTTTTTATCCCCATCGCAGAAAGAGTGCTAGTAGAACAGCAGCTTCAGTGTGCATTGGTTAGCATGTATTCTCTATAAGCATGAGACACGGGTTCGATTCCCGCCTGAGGTTCAGAGAGTTTTTTCATATCAATTAACAGTCTCGAATATATAGTTTGTAACACCATAACACCCCTATCGTAGTGATTGTATGAAGTGTCCTCCTAGATTCTGTAAAAAACGGTTTGATCAGTAAGTGATTACGACAGGGGATGATGATGCGCCTTTGTAGTGTGATTTGCATAGTTTGCGGTTTTATGCAAGCCGTTTTCTACAGGGTTTCTAACGCTTTTGTATTCTATGTCCTCTTCTCAGTACTCCTATCCATAGAGTAATGTTGGCACGTCCGACCCCAACATTGCTCCAGATTTACTTTGAATTGATCTCCCGAAAGGAAATGTCCAATTCTTTGTAAATTTGGGAACTCTTGCTGTATAATGCAGTTATTTACAATTGCCGATCGCCACCCAGTCACAATTAGACATTAACTTATTGAGAACTATTCAGCAGTGATGCGAAGTGTGTCTTATATTCCCTATTCGCATACATGTTTTATGACATGGGGACGCGTCTAGCTTAATTGTTGGAATTGTCCTGCAACACACACTTAGTGGTTCGATTCCGCTCCGACCAGATGAGCTCTCTATTTCTCTGAGATTGGAAACCTGGATAACGGACTTAAATTCAAGGACTACAGTGAATTAATGCCACAGTGTCATAGCTATTTACATTCTGATTTTCTAACAGTAGAATTCGATGAGATACAGCCACTGCGATACTGCGATGTTATCAAACTCAGAATTTTTTGACTTCGAACCCGCCGTTATACCATGTGTGAGTCCATCTTGGCCTAGGGCGCTACCCATTACATCAAGGGAGTCCCTTGCTAGGTCTTTTCATTAATCATAATTTAGCCCTACCACCCACCCTGAAGTTGAAAAGTGTTTATTGTTGTTAAGAGTACATTGATCTAGTATTTGTATTGTCGACTTCCTGAAAATAATATTCGTGGAGTCATCTTACCACTTCTGATAACATTCTCTATCATCCTTATCGACTATCAGTTTTTATAATTCATGCCACAACATCCTGAACACTTCATTTTTTCCCGTTCATTCGTGGTTAGTTGTCGTTTTTTAGTTTTTTGGTTTTTTGATGAAGGTGTTGTTTGAAGCCGTTTTTACTCAAAAGAGATAGTAGTCTAACGTCGAAAGTATTCGAAATGCCTATAGTGTTACAAAAAATATTTCAGCGCAGAGTTGTGGTGAAAAAATATGCACAAGTTGATGTCTGTCAATACTTCTGAATTCTCTTGTGGGTCTCATTGTTCTAAGTGTTTTAAATCAATATGATACATAGTGTTTGATCTATCATGGCTTGTGGCGCATAAAATCCTATTTAGAAATTGTATGGCTGATTAGGCAAATGCGCAATTATCAATATTTTGCCATTACACTGAATCTCATGACTGGTTGGGGCCAATTTGATCACCATTATCATATTCAAATAGCGTTTTCTTTCCTTCTCTTCTCTGTTCTCTCATATATTTCAAGCAAAGTTTACTGTACGTGATTATGAGACGAACCAGTGAATAATGCCCAATTTGGTATAATATGAATATGTTTTAGGGCGCAGAAATCCAGAAATACTTCGGTCTCTCAATAGGTATATCTAAGCTCCTAGTACACTTATTAGTTGAATTTGCTGTTCTTCCTCTGCAGTATACATCTGTCACATTGCATAAAGCAAAAAACTTTGCTGAACATCTTTTCATTGTTTCGCAGACTTTTCCAACACTTGTATTTTGAGTAACAAAGCCATCGGCAAGCTGATTTTTTCTGGGCTTCAAACACCCACATAATAAGACATTTGCAGTCGTTAACACATCTTCAGAGTTTTCTCATGTTTTAGTCACAATAATGACGGCCTTAGCTACTGCAACAAATCGTTTGAAGAGGGATTACTGTAAGCTACTGAAGGAACCAGTGCCGTATATTCGCGCCGCACCATTGCAGGAGAACATCCTCGAATGGCACTACATTATATTCGGTGCTCCAGACACTCCCTATGAAGGTTTGTCTCACCAATTCTTCTGTTGGCGCGTACTCAGTTTTGGATTGTGCCATACTGTAGTGCTTTATCCAGTACGTCACTAAAGCGACAGCGCTTGACATTCACGTCGGTACGCTGTTAGTTTGGTTCTAGTTTTGCTCCTTTGTCGCGTAAAGTATGCTTTACATCTTCATCTAAACACAGATCTCTGCTACAGCTTAAGTATATACTAAGATCTTTTGAGGAAGAACTAAATAATTCAAACTTTTCAGCCGTTAATGTTAAAATATAACACCCTTTGCGTTGGGCTAATTTGAGTGTTTAACGCAGCTTTCATATCAAAACACTCCAGGTATGGGTGTGATTATGAAGTAATCCGATTCAAACAAGTGGAATTGTTTCCTCTATCGCTTCAGTTTTATGGTAATTGGATATATTTGTGTAACTATCAAGTAGCGTTCAATCTTGCTTTCATCGAACGTTAGAGTACATAGAATGGTTCATTCTCTTATACTACTGCTTTACAGTCATCATCTGACGCCCAATACATTTCACAGAGAACCCTTGAAGGCCCGTGTTCAGAAAGAACTGTTTATAAAAATTTTTTCACCGATTCAGATATTTTTACTTTCTGTAATCGGTGACTCTTTTCAGGTGGTGTGTATCATGGCAAACTAGTCTTCCCGATCGATTTCCCATTTAGACCACCGTCTATTTATATGATTACTCCTAGCGGTCGGTTTCGAGTGAACACCAGACTATGTTTGTCTATGTCCGATTACCATCCGGATACTTGGAATCCAGCATGGACGGTATGAGTTGCAAGCGGTAGTAAGTGTTCAGGCTTAATTTTCATCTGCATTCTAGGTATCTGCTATAATAACTGGTCTTCTCTCATTTATGAACGATTCGGCACCTACGTTGGGTAGCATCAAGTCGTCAGATGCAGAGAAGAAAGTGCTAGCACGTCGCAGCAAAGCGTTTAATCTGAGGGTAAACAGTCCTTTTTCTCAGACACCTTTTACGTGTTGTATAAGTTTCTTTCCTTTTTCCGCTTCAGCTATACCTGTGTAATCTTGCCCTTTGAGGATCGGAATTTCTGTACTCTATTTCCTGATGTCGTTGAGGAGATAAGAAAGGAACTCAGTGATGCAAACACTGCCGAGGAGGGCATATCAAAGAGGGAAGAGAGAAGGCTACAGAGGTACATCTTTCTCATTATTTCAATTATTTGCTCCAATCGTTTGAATATTAGCTGATGTCGTCTCTGGAATGCCTTGCATTAGTGTAGTGCTCCCTTTTTACTGTCATAAAAATGAGGCTCAAAGTTCTTTTTCTGCCGATGTGTTTACTCGGCAGTGAAAGACATAGTAATCAAATCAATCCCTGAACGTAAACGAATGGAGTTGTTCTCTAGAGCGCATTTACTTTTGAGCATCGTGTAGCATTACTAGAGAATTTTGTTCTTGTGGATTAAAGCTTATGAATGAATTGAAAGTAGTTTGATGTGATCCTGCAGGTTGTTAGGCTAGGCTCAATTGCAATGCTGTGTTTTCAGCTCATTAGCACTGTTTAAGCGTCCTTGCTATGGGCAGAAGCATGAGCTAGTTCTATAGACAACATATTATCTTACACGACCCATCATCAGAATTTACTCTGCGGATCCCCGCGCATATTGCATTCCTTCGTTTTGTCGAAGTAGGGGGTTGCCACACATTTGATTAATTGCAGGAAAGTGTTCATGGGTGGGATCGGACCAGTGCCTTGCTTCACTCTGCTTCACGTACACTACATTTTCAACACTTTGGGTTTGACAAGCCCACGGTGCTAGCCCCATCTCACACCGCGTGCGACTGCGAACAGTCCGAAATGGCGAGTATAGTGATACCACAAAAAATGCTCAGTTGTCTTAAAAATCACTTTTTGATACTATACGCAGATTCATGGAGTAACAACGGACACAACACACAGGTTCCGCAAAACTGATTGCATCCACATCTATATAAGTTTTCTGAAAATTGTACGCTGTAGACTTTTATCGTACACTGTAGATAATATGTTTTCAAATCCGACTTTATAACATTGTCAAGAAATGAGAATAGGTGGATTTGCATGTTACCCTTTGCATTTGTGTGTCATATCAAAATGCGGAATGTTAACAAGTGCGAGTTTTTTGTTATAACAATTTCTACACCAAGAAACGATACCACGAAACCTCATTGTAAAATGCGCCGTCAGGGGATCGAATCAGGCACCTTCTTCCAGATTGCCGGCATTACTGACCACCCGGCACCACTACCTGCTCGCAGGGTGAGAAAGGCGCGGCTACTACCGTGAGCATGTTGTACCTAAAGTGTTAAATACTGCGCCGCCTCGCCTTTAGAGAAAGTTGAAGCATTCTCTATCAAAACATCCACTTTTCAGTATATAGGTCTCAAATATTTGATAAACGTATTTCTTAGCTTTAAAAATTTACCATATCAGATATGTTTTCTAACACAGCACTGAGCACGCTTAGGTCAAGTTTTTGCAACAAACTGAGAAAAAAAGCTCGTTTTTCCTACAAAATGATACCTGATCATAGAGCAGCAATAGTTTCTTCCATGTCAGTGTCAATATTTTCTAGGTTAGGTTTTTAGAATAACTATTACAATTGATCATCATACAGTGCAACATTGATTACAAAATTGATCCATGGCATCGACTGCTTTTGAAAAATCGCAATGGACATTCAACATAAATTTTTCAGAATGTTCAAAGCCTTACCCAAGCTTGATACGCTAGGGCTATACACGCGTGTTTCGGAGGTCTCGGCCACCTCGACAGTAGCCCACTGCCCACATTAAGCCCTGCATTGTAGCAATCGACTGAGAAGTGGTGATAGCACAGTGTTATTGTACACTGTGCCGTCACCACATACGTCTCCTTCCTTTCTACAATGCAGGGCTTAATCTAAGGCGTGGGCTACTGACGAGTGGGTGAGACCTCCGAAACACTCGTGTGTAGCCCTGGCATACCAAC